AGCAGGGTCTCAATCTCGTCCTTAACGGCGGCAACTTTCTGCGAATCAGATTTAGCTTCGGCTAAATTGGCGTTGATCTCCTGCAACTCCGCAACAAGCTCCTGCCTGTTCGCTGCCAGGTTCTTTACATCCGCTAGCACCTTCGCGAGCTCTGCGTTCATCGCATCAATTGCACGAGCCTCTGCGTCCATCTTTAACGACTTCTCGTAGACCTCCCGCACCTGAGCATCGGTCTCGGCCTTGACTTCCGCGGCAGCCACTGATAGGTGCCTCAGCTCTTGCCTGGCGGCTGCAAGCTCCTGCTTTAGCACCATGTGAGTTTCCTCTAGCCGCTGGTTATCGATGATAAGGGATTGGATCTCCCGGTGCTGGATTGCAATGTGTTCCTCCAGGACAACCGGGTTGGGGGCAGGACGGTGGATTCCTCGGGTCAATGGGACTTCGCGGCGTTTAAAGGCGTATGCTGCCGCCGGTTGACCTGGCGGGAGGCGGTTGCGACCGGCCATTGGACGTCGTCGTTTTCTGTTTTATTTCTCTTCAGCTGGTCATGGTTTCTAACCTCTGCTCGCTCAGTCCTCTCAAGTTCCCGAGGGTCGCTATTCCAGCAAAGTTCGATATTTCCTCTACTTCATCGTGTTGGGGGAGCTAGACAGTTAACTGAAACGCACCGTTTTAGGATTAGTGGGCTATTGGCTTCCTGGGCCTTGCTTCGGCCTTTATTGGGGTTCAAGCTAATAAGGGTGAGAAGAGGAGATCCGTCGTAGTCTATTAGTATTCGGTCCACTTTACACCCGCCGGATATATATATACAATTATTTTTAATTTTATTTAAACTAATTAAATTTTAATTAATAAATATTTAATATTATATATTTATAATATTAGTTTATATTTATTGTTGCGTATTATATCTAATATTATTTTAAACTATAATTTTATCTTCATTACTACTTACTATTTTTAATTAAAATTATTTAGACATTTTAAAAAAATTTTAAAATAAAATAAAATAAGTAAATGAGATATGTAATAAGTATAAAGTTTATAAACAGAACGAATAGCTAATAGAAAATATTTTATCCACTTCGAGTATGTGACATATATAAATTTATATTTTTATTAGTAATATAGATATTAACATACTCATTCAATATTCATCTCTAATTATCAATATGACTGTTCTTTACAATTGTCACTATTAAAGTACATTTTTATGTAAAATATTTTTTTAGATTACTATCTTTAGAGTGAATATTTCATCATAATTTTAATAAAAATCTCATTTAAAATATATATTAAATGTTGTTGGATTTAAAACTTTTTTTAGAAGTTTACTAAAGTAGTCTATGTTGTCATAATTTATTAAAGTATTATTTATTTTATTTTGTATCATTTTTACTTTAATATTATGTAATAATAATTTGTTCAATATATTTGTGTGTAAGTTATTTAATATTACATGTCATTTTAATAAAATTCAGTTATTTCATATATGTGTCTTGGTTAGAAATTTATTTTATGCAAATAATTATTTCTTATACTTTTTTTTTTAAATTCATAATGAATTATATCTCTACAAATTAATTTTTGAGCATATTTGGTTCCTTGTAACAAATACTTGTATGCATTCTTATTTTGGTTGATCTAGGCCATATTCTAATCTACTAAGATGGTACTCATACTTTAGCAAAATCTTGTTTTACTTTTAAATATAATAATCATTTATCACAATTTGCTTTCCTGAAACCAAATGCAACCGTTGAGGTGTGAACGAAAAAGGATAACGGAATCTGGGGATATCAAAAAGTTAAAGGGCGACGACACGTGTCCCTTTGCTTACCCCTCTAAATCTATTTAAACCGAGAGCTGAATCGCCAAGACGGAACCCGCCAATTTCCCATCAAAATGTCAGTGTCTCTTAGTGCTGCCGAACAGATCTCCTTCTTCTGCTTCCAAATCAGCAATAGGAGGTTCCTCTCTCCATCGCTGAATCTTGATTTCTGTTCATCTACTCTTTTCCTATTTTACAATTCGTTAGTTAGTCATCTAATCTTGTCTTTCGTAGATTCATTGAAGATTCTCTTCGAATCCTTGAGTCGATTCTCGTAACCAAAGACGTGAAGTCATTGATCGAAGTACGGTCCAGTTTGAGAGAGTACATGAGTTCTGAATTTTTCTGTGTGATCCGTGAAATCGAAGAGAAATCCGTCGACCAAAAGATATTGGTTCTAGACTTCTTTGTTCGTGCTTTTGCTCTTATCGGCGACATCGAGGTACATATTTTTTTCACTCATTCTCGTAAATGTTTAACATTGCAACTTTATTAATTGTGCGATCGATCTATTTTGCAAAACATGAATGATTGCGCTAACATGTTTGGCATCTGAATCAGTGGTTCTTTTTGTTAATGGTATAGCTAAAGATGTAGTTGATGTAGCTATTTGGCTAGTATCTCTGTAAATTAGAAGGAAAATGAACCTTAATTTTGCTTTTGAAGTAGAAATCAATTTGAAATAACAACTAGAGTTTTTCTGGTCAATTCAGATTTTCTAACCACAATTTTAAGTTTATATGATTTGAAATAGCAACTATAGTTTTTCTGGTCAATTCAGATTTTCTAATCACAATTTTAAGTTTATCAAGAGCTCTTATTGTCCATGTCAATTGAAGCGTTCATATTCCTATTTATACGAGTATGTTTTGTCATTGTATAAGTTAAACCAAATATATTTTTATTAAAAGGGTCACCAAATATATTTTTACTAAAAAGTTCACTTAGTTATTATATTAAAAAATAAATAAAAGTTATAAGGAAAAAAAATCTTAGATCATCGACATAACTTATTATTCATTGAAGAAATAAACAATAGATGAATTAAATTGAATGAATTCTTCACATTCAGAAACCATATGGCTTTCGTACTTGCAGCACTCTAAGAGTAATCTAAATAAATTAATTCATAATTTAAATAAATTAATTCTAATACACTAATAAGTCTATCTCATAAAATCTAAAATAATTATAGAACAAATAATACAAAAATATTAATCTATTCAGAAATTCAAATTTAAATAGATCTTAGTAATTTATTATAATTTTATTTATTCCATTCAAAGATGATGTTACCTACTTATCATTATGCCAAAGTTAACTGGTAGAATTGTAATAGCAGAGTACAAGCAGATATGGTTATTTAATTTGGGAATTAAATAGTCGTGTTGTTTGCACATGGATATTACTAGAGTTGCTTGGCCGTGAGATATGAGGCTTTACTTTATCGCCAGCTCAAGTCTCCAAGTAACCAGTGGCTACAAGTTTCACATACAGAATGGCTAAGCTTTGCTGATCACTCAATTCAAAATGGTTTCTACACAATAGCTTGGAAGGTAATACTTCAATTCCTGTGGTATTTAAGGTTGTTATCGGGGGAGAGTAATCTCTTTAAGTGAAAAGGGAAAAGAAAAAAGATATCAAGATTCGCCTTTATTCTTAAAAGGAAAAAAGGGAAAAGAAATAGTAGTGTTTCTTGGTTCTTTGTAGTGCAATTTGATGAGGATGTCCTGTCTTCTTCTTTGATATAAACTTTCACAACTGATGTTCACTTATATAAGCTTTGCTGATCACTCAATTCAAAATGGTTTCTATACAATAGTTGGAAGGTAATACTTCAATTCCTGTGGTATTTAAGGTTGTTATCAGGGGAGAGTAATCTCTTTAAGTGAAAAGGGAAAAGAAAAAAGATATCAAGATTCGCCTTTATTCTTAAAAGGAAAAAGGGAAAAGAAATAGTAGTGTTTCTTGGTTCTTTGTAGTGCAATTTGATGAGGATGTCCTGTCTTCTTCTTTGATATAAACTTTCACAACTGATGTTCACTTATATAAGCTTTGCTGATCACTCAATTCAAAATGGTTTCTATACAATAGTTGGAAGGTAATACTTCAATTCCTGTGGTATTTAAGGTTGTTATCAGGGGAGAGTAATCTCTTTAAGTGAAAAGGGAAAAGAAAAAAGATATCAAGATTCGCCTTTATTCTTAAAAGGAAAAAGGGAAAAGAAATAGTAGTGTTTCTTGGTTCTTTGTAGTGCAATTTGATGAGGATGTCCTGTCTTCTTCTTTGATATAAACTTTCACAACTGATGTTCACTTATATAGGCATGTGAAAATGCACTGTTATGCATTCAAAGAGATGATGGTACTGATCCCAACTCAGATGAATATTCTGAAAATTCGAAAGATATAGAAAAAATTAAAAGACTCAAGGACTCTGCAATAATATCAGCTTCCTCACATTCAGGTACGTCTTCTATGTAGGTCTAAGTCTTTAATGTCCACATCATCATTCATTTCCTGGTATAAATTCTCATTAGTTCCATAATTAGTTGTGGAGGATGCATAAGTGTCATTTGGATCGACCTTGTAAGAATTGTCTGCATTTTAGATGGAGCTCAGTAAATATTAGCAGAGACAGCGGCGAATATAATTGGCTTTCCAAGGGTCAATATCCAGCCTAAGAAACTTTTTGCACAAATCACAAGCCAATTTCATCTGTCCATTCACTCACCTTCCAGAAAAATTTTGCAAACCTTAGAGTCAGATTAGAATGGGACTAATTGGAGATGTTAATGTGCTTAGATTCTGTTGTTAGAATAGTGTTTATTTGTGTTTATCTGGTCTGGTTTTGTTTATTTTTCTTCCACTTCTCTAATTGGCAGTTAGCTTAGTTTTATTGTCATTTGTCATGGCAATTATGCCATTAATTATTTGTTCGGTATCCTTGTAACTATAAGAATGTATGCAGTTACAATTTCAGAAAAGTTTTTCTTAGTCTTCCAAACACTTTGAGATCTTTGGATTCTGTCTTCACAAGTTGTTCTTGTAAAACGACCCTAATGTAGCAACACGTCCAAGTATAGAAGATATTCATTATCAATACTGCAAATGCACCTTTCTTTTATGATCCCTCGTCTGGGGTCTTCTGTAACAGACCACTCACGCAAAGTCGACCAAGAATTGTGATGCCTGTTAGTTAGACTTTGTGCCTTGTTTTCGTTTCTTTTGTGATCCGTATATGTTGATTAATTCGTAACTGAACTAAACCTAATCCAAACATTGTCTAATCAGAATCAAGTCTTAGTCTTCTTATTAAAGAAGGCGTTTATGTGAACTCAAGAATAGAATCATAGACAGAACGAAGATCATGCTTTCCAGCTCTCCTTGCCATGGGTTCCACGCATATACATTTGGTTGGAGAACTGATTAGGACAACAGATCTTGGCTGTGACACTTCTCAGTACTACAAAATATGAGAACACTGATCTGAACCAATTGGAATGGCAAACTAGAAATTAGATTAGAAATATTCTCTTTGTTGTTCACAGAGGTTAGTTCAGTAGGTAAGGAGTGGTAAGTATAATCTGAATGTAGCAGACTTATGTAGGAAAGTGCACTCCTGAAATGGCGTGGGCAAAAATTTAGTTCTGTATTCTTGATTAAGTTCAGAGACATCCAATAAAAAAATAAATATATTCTTCTTTATTCATGATATGGTGTTAGAGCACCAATTTGAATCACTTGGAACAGTGAACTAACAGTGAAAATCCCCTGGCTATCAATTTTGATATCTCTATTAGCGTCAGTTTAATATTTGAGATTTAAATTGTTACTTATCTTACTGTCTTGCATGTGGCAGCACCTGCACAATAGTCTAGAAAGAATATCTCATAATTGAGTTAAATTTATGAATATTTTCACACCCTTTTCTATTTTCAGCAAGGTTTTTTTTGTTTCAAATTTTAATTATATTGAATAAAAATCCATTACAAATGAGAGAAAAAAATTGAAGGAAAACAAAGTTAATTGTTGTCGAATTGAACATATGGTGGAGCTGATTTAATAATATATTAAATTATCCAAATTAAAACTAAATGTTAAATATAGATAATTAACATTTAGGAACTAAGGCAGGCTAGAATAGACTCTAACACCAATTACAAGCATTTGAGTTTGCTCTGAAATTTGTAAAAGGAAAAAAGAGGCCTGATTCTTGATAGAATGATGACATAGGAAACAAGGAGATGTAAGGAGTGCTTTGCTGATTTCAGCTTGACTTATTTAAAGCAGGTGTTTTAATAATGTAGAACCAGCAAAGACCCTGCAATGTGGCTCATGTCAATGCCTGGTTACTCTCGCTAGGGTGTGACATGTGATGAACTGCAATGTTACTTTTATTAATCACGTGCAGATGAATAGTCGCCATTCAGTTCACGACTATTGATTAAATTTACAAATCACAAATTTTTTTCATCTTATTGATTTCATGAGCTAAGCAGTTCCAACGGATTCATATTAGGATACTTTGGCAATGTTGACGGAATTCGAAATCCATACTTTTAGTAAATGCTGCCAAGTATTGTTTTTGTTCATTGTCTTATTGCCAGCGTGCATTCAATTAGCTATCATATTCTTTCAATATATTTTTATTATTTTGTACATTTATTCGCCTGTTTGGAAGACAATGGAAGAACTGGAATGAACATGACTTCTTGATGCAGAAAAATCTTAATTAATCTAGTGTGATAGCCCATGTTTGGTGCTTTTAGCTGTCCACGTTGGACAAATCTTTGTGATTCACTTTTTTCACTTTACTATCCATCCTTTGCGGTCAGATATCATGTCAAATCTCATTGAAAGGAACTGCCTCCATATGCTAACATGTGATAGGTGCAAATTTTGTTTGCTTATATCAGTTCAGGCACAGACAACAGAGTACTTGAGGAAAAAAAAGAATGAGAAAGCCAGAACATGGCCTCTATTTGGTAAGAAAGTGCAGTGCCAGGGAAGCACTCTGTTCAGAGATGGCATTAAAAGACAGAATGAACGAAAGCTGCATGAATGCAAAACTCTCAAGATTAAGATCATATCATAATCAATTCAACTTTGATGCCCCTGCTGCATGTTCTGTTTTTTGCAGTGAATTTTATTTCACAAGCTTATGTTGGATAGGTAGATACTGCATATGCAGGTTCCCTCTTGACAAAGTGTTACTCTATCATGGTTGTCCTGTGTTAATAGGACGAAACTACTGCGATTACCAATCAACCTATTTCAATGGGAAAGTAGGGGATGGTAGAGGCAAACGGCATGGTAGAAAATGTCATATATCTGTTCTGTGGGATGTTTGTTTATGTCAAGTAGCTGTTCTGTTTTCTTTTATATGCCTTTTGTTTTTTGTTGGCATAATTAAAACATGGCTGAATTTGAAGAGTGTGAACATGCCATTTAGCCTTGGATCATGCACATCATGATTTTCTGTGGGATGTTTGTTTATGTCAAGTAGCTGTTCTGTTTTCTTTTATATGCCTTTTGTTTTTTGTTGGCATAATTCAAACGTGGCTGACTTTGAAGAGTGTGAACATGCCGTTTAGCCTTGGATCATGCACATCCTGATTAAAATGTATTCAGTCAAATACTTATCAGACTTGTTAGTCCAGACGGTGTACCATTTCGTCCAGATTCATGATATTATATATATATATATATATATATATATAATTGTATGTATATATAGCTATATATATTTTTGTTACATGGCCCTTATATCCCCAAATTTCGCCGCCTTGATTCTCGCTCTCTCTTCATCAAAATAGTTTCTTTCCCGCAAGTCTAACTAAAAATCCTATGTAACTGATCTATATGTGTGTGTATTAGTGTTCATGGTATGTAATAGTTAATAAGTGTTATGCGCATATTAGGAATAAGGAACAAGTCTGAAAAAAGATAAAAGCAGTTTAGGCAATTCTGAAATTTTAATTCCAGGATTAACTGCTCCCTTTTGTAAATAAAACAATGATCTGGACAAAGACAACAATCTATAGAAGAATATATGTAATGAAAGTGTTTTTCTACTCTAAAGATTTTAAGATTCTCTCTATCCGAGTCCTAGTTATCACTCTCAATTTGTAATTGGAAAGCGTGAGGTCTTCATTCATTGGGAGGGTCTTCCTCTTGCAGATGCTTCGCTATCCTCACTTTGGGCTTGAGAACAAGCACCAATCAAGGGCGATAGTGATGTTAGGAACAAAATAATTCCTTTTCCACAGGTCTATCAAAGGCGAAAAAAAATAAAAATCCCATGTAACTGCTCCATATACATGTGTATTAGTGTTCACGGTTGTAATAGTTATGTAAATATGTAATAATAAGTGTTATTTGTGCATTGGGAGTAAGGAATAAGTTTGAGAGAAGACAAGGACAGTTTAGGCAATTCTGGAACTTTAATTCTAAGAGTAACTGATTCCTTCTGCAAATAATACAGTGCTGTGGATGAAGACAGCACTCTATGGAAGAATTTATGTAATGAATAGTATGTTTTTACTCTAGAGATCGTCAGGTTCTCGATATGCAGCAAGTCCTAGTTATCACTCTAAATTTCTAAAATAGGAAATGGTAGAAAAATGAAGAAGAATGTACTTTTGCCTACTAATTTCGTTGTGAATCAAACTGTGACGCGATCCATCAGTTGTACCATAAAAGAGTGACAGGACATTATGAAAATAATGTTTTTCTCCTTATATATCTTGGCATGGTTGTTCAGTTGTTGTGGTTCTGGCTGCCCATATATAACTTTATTTAACTTGCTTTTATTTTGAGTCTAGCGAGTAAGCTTCCTTGTGTACAATGGGAGTGAAAATAAACATAAATATAACATACAAAATGTATATGTGTGAGATGGTCCTTCATATTTTCTCCCTCTTTTGCACTCTATTCTGAAATTGATTGCTTTGGAATGCTTGAGGGCCTATATTTAATTTTTATGAAAGAGTAGCTCTGCAGCAGCAACAGATTAGTCTGTTCCTGTCTACTTGATCATGTGCTTTTCCTTTTTGAACTGTTGATGATGTGCTTAATTATTGGTTACTGTTGATTAATTTTTGTTTGTTATTAGCTGATAATGCCGAATTGCATTTTATAAAGAAAGGTTCGCTTTGGAAATCCAACATAGATCAGTCCATAATTTGAAGCAACTGCTATTTGAGGTCAGCAACCATTTCAGCCTGCTCACTTGAGATTTTGCTATATTGTCAAATATTGCTTCTAGTCCCCACAATTTGAGATTTGAAAACCATCCACATTTCAAGAATCGAATCTTCCATATCACCAAGTGCATTTATTGTTTGCATCGGACCTAGCATGTTTTGTTTTTCTCTAAGACGGTGAAAAGATGTCTGTTTTTCCTCTATTTTGTTTATTAGGTTAAAAAAATGCAGTAACAAAAAGTATTACAAGCTTCTCATTGTCTATAATCCAAGAGCTTTTCTTCTCCCTAGTGCTTAGGGTTTTGAAACTTAGGAGTGAAAACTATATATAAAGTACGCGTTCTGTGAGGCAACCCATTAAAGAACTTCAACAGGTGGCCTCATTAAAAAATGTTATTGAGTATTTTGGATATGGGTCTGGTAGAAAACATGAACTTAATTTGCAAGACTAAGTGCATATAAAATGATTAAACATATGCTGTGACAACTAGGGGAAACGAGCTGTTTTTCTCGGAACATAAGATTAGAAGCCTGGAATCATGTGGAGAGCATTAAATGCAAGGCTTTGAATTGGTGTCAATTAGGGTTCTGATACAATATTTTTAGGTTCTTTTATAAATAAGCCTCATATTTTAGCTCATGTCGGATCTCGTTAACCGGTCCGCATTAATATCTTGGTGCTTTGTTGTTGTTGATGTTTAAATGCTAATTGTATAAATTAAACATAAAATTTTTACCAACTGATATGGTAATTAATGTACATAAAAAAATTACTCAATTCAATTGAGATAAAGTTTCCATCTATTTTGTCACATTTTGTAATTAAATTTTGGTAAATGTTTTTTTTTTACGTAGAATATTCCTTACGACAAACAGAATAATTTTTATTATAATTTAGTTGTAATATTATTCATGAGAAGATGATAACTTTTTTTTAATCATGCTTTGGTTTTGAACCATGGCTTGGTATCTTAATCCTTAGGGTAAACTCTCATTTTAGTTTGGGATCAGGGATAAATTAAGTTTGAAATAGTCTTTAAGTTTAATTATTAAAATTGTGTAGATTTTTTATAATATGGTCTGGAATTCAGAAACTGAAATAATAATTGCCCTTATTGTTACGAATCACAAGACATAGCGAAAATAAATTCGGACATTCATTTATCGGTATATTTAATATGAATATTTATAAATCATTTAACAGCTTATTTAATTTTTTAAAAATTAATAATTAAAATATAGATTAAATAACATTATATCTTACTCTTCATAAAAAAAATATAATAGTTTAACTCCAATTATTATGTTAAGATAAGATTATTTCAGATTATAAATGAGGCTGTAAAACTGTGGATGCATTAAAACAACTAAAACAAAATATTGCTCAATAAAAAAGAATGTGACTTTGGAAAAATATTGTTCCTATTTTCTGATATATATATATATATTTTTTTTTTTGTGGTGCAAGAACTTAGTATTGAAGTCAATGAAAATGAAAAACATAAATTTCATATGAATCACTTTTAATCTTTTGAAGTATATATTTCTAAGAACTTGAAAATTTGGGTGAAGTTGAATTGTATTTATCCACTTATTTTAGTTTAGAATATAATAAGAATGATGTAAAATAGTAAAAGTTGAATTTAATGTTTTTGAGGGTTGATCTAAGGTAAGGTACATAGTGATTCGTAATGTCAAATTTTGATGGTTGAATTGTGAGAGAGGGTTAATGTATGTATGTATGTATGTTTGATGTTTCCATGTGGATGTCTGTCAACAAAAACATTCACATTGAACCTATTTCGTTTGAAGTCTAGGGGTTCCAATTGCATCTGGTAAAAAACCTAACCCCCTCTTTTGCCCTTTCCCCCAATTATTAATCTCTCTCTCTCTCTCTCTAATATTTTATGAAAATACGCTATGTGGCATCAAAGCATAGATAATAAGAATGAGTCAGATAAACAGGAACGTGGAAACTGGAAAACATACACGACTCCGTGGATGCCAACCTATCACGCGCCACTCCAAGGCGGTGGTCAACCCCCGCACCCTCCCCTGATTTTCTTATGTTTGATTTTAATATCATTGTACGAAATGACCTTATTACCCATCGGCCGTCTCTCTTTCCCACTAGGACAGAAATTTAATTTAATGACTGAAGCTGGTTTCTTAATTTCTTCCACGTTGAACACTATCTTAATCAGTACATTTCCACAAATTTTAACTACAATTATTTAGTTTTTGATAGTCTTACTATTATTTTAAACAAAACAACATGTGCATCCATTTTACACTATGCTATATAGGTACATCTGGAACCAATTATAAGTACGCTTTTGTGGTTCCTTCTTTTGGTTGTCTTCTACTTCTTCTTTCATCTTCCTCCTCTACTTCAACCAGAAAAAACCCCGTGCCCCTTTTTTTTTTTTTTTTTTTCTTTGGTTTGATTTTTCTCGACACCATTAGAATGGGAGGTACTTCACCATGCGCCTCATGCAAACTATTGAGGAGACGCTGCGCTAAGGACTGCATCTTTGCCCCTTACTTCCCCTCCCATGATCCTCACAAGTTTGCCATCGTTCATAAGGTCTTTGGTGCTAGCAATGTCAGCAAAATGTTGCAGGTCTCTCTCTCTCTCTCTCTCTCTATATATATATATATATATATATATATTTGCAGGTCTCTCTCTCTCTCTCTCTCTATATATATATATATATATATATGTACTCTGACGTGTTTTTGTATGTAAATATGTTTGACCACTAAGGTCTTGATAAAAAATGTCTCCTTTATTGAGGTGGGATCTTCTAAGTTTAAATTTCGTATAAAGACTTGGAAAAGCTCCAATCTATTGATCCATTCATAACTGAAAACAAATTTTGTTTGTGCATATGTATTTGTTTGCATGCATCTGGTTCGTCACGTAACTTTGTCTCTAGTGGTTTCACTTGAGCTAGCTTTAACTTGATGATGATCTGATTAATTATATCTTTCAGGAGCTTCCTGTTCATCAAAGAGCAGACGCTGTGAGCAGTTTGGTATATGAAGCGAACGCAAGAGTGAGAGACCCAGTGTACGGTTGTGTTGGTGCAATATCATACCTCCAGAACCAAGTCTCGCAGCTAGAAATGCAGCTTGCGGTAGCTCAAGCGGAGATATTATGCATTCAGATGCAACAGGAACCCATCTTACCAACCCTGCAGGTAGATCACCAAGATGATAAATTACTTCTTTCCACCATCACTACCACAAATGATAATAATTTCAATAACCTTAGCCTCCCTCATTACCTTAACTTTGCTTCTTCTAGCAATGTAATGCAGGACTCTTTTAAAACTGAGTCTCTTTGGACTTGATTTTCTAATAAAGTTCCAGTCTTTATTTTCATCCATATCTACTAATTTTAATCGCGTTTTTTGTTTAATCATCTCGTTTCTTTTGCTTCACATATAGGAATCCATCAATGAGTTGCATAACTAGAGGTAATCTTTCCTTACTGCAAACATACGCTCACTTCTACTCGATTTCTTTGTAGAGATATTATTGGCAGTTCATTACAGGAGAAATCAAGTTAAGTAAGTAGAAAGGTTGAATAAGTTTTGTATAAGAATATTATTAGAGAATAATCAGGGGGGTTAATTAAGACATATAAATGGGTCAACACTTGCATGTGAGATATGAGGTAAAGTAAGGTTTACCAAGTTCTCCTTTTCCTTGATTACGACGTTATTACTCAATAGCCCTTGTGATTTCCTTTTCTTTAATCACGATTCATGCTCTTTCCTCCTCCTAAAAATAAAAAAATAAAAGAGTTTCCAATTGTCCCTTCATTGACCAGTAAGATAATTTATGAGGATGTCTAATAACTACAGCTGAGCGAAGCTCCCATATTAATTTAATCAAGTCTTACTTTGTTTTACGAGATACGAGTCACTGCTTATAAAGTCTTAATTTAATATATAACTTTGTGTTCTTCTTTTGTACATCAAACAAATGACAATATATGTTTTCTTTTCTATCACAGTATTAATTTAAAATTTGTGTAGATCAACGAGAGGAGGGAGAAATAGGAAAACTCTTTAGCTGGATAACAATAATATGCATGCATAGCCAGGCTTTTTGTTGTTTCAGATCTCCAAAACATATTCTTCCAACCTTTCCATATAAAACCATGAAAATGAAAAAATTAGGCATCGTGTGGATTAATATGATCTCATGTCTGATTAGGATGTGGTGTGTCAATGGAAAGTATCTTACGATTAAAATACTCAATGTTTTTTTAAACAAACTAATATCAATTTTCTATAAAAAAAAATTATATGTATACATATATATATAAAAAGAGAGAGAGAGAGAGGGAGAGAAAAACCGTGTTAAACCATAAGAAAATTAAGAACACCGGCGGATGATCACCACCAGCCCTAGCTAACTTGAAGCTGAAGCATTTTGTTTGCCGATCAAAATTTCAGTCTGTATAATCCACTCTAATCTCTCGGATCTTACAAATTTACAACCGTACATGATACTTACATTGCACTACATATTACCAACTATTCAAACTGAGATAGTAATTTGTTTGGAAATTTTATATGTAAATTTAGACTTATTTTAGTTAAAACATAACAAAAGTTGCACTTAAAATAATAAAATTTGAGTTTTTCAATATTTAGCATAATGTATGCAAGTAAGGATGAAAACTACATGATGGATCGGATATGGTATATAAGTGGTTCTCCCAGGTTATTTTATTTTATTTTTTTTCCTTTTAAAAAAACTATATCTATATACAAATATCTGTTCTTCGATTAACTTATTATTAACTCAGCTCTCCTAAAATTATAAAAATAAAATATATAGCATATAAATATACATTTATTTAATCCAATTATAAAAATTATGTAATTTACAATCGTATGAACAGATAATAAGCAAAAGTAGAAGTTTATTATTGTATTGAAACATAGAAATTTAGGGCCCAGTTGTTGTTTCTATTAAATCTATGCTTTTGGGCCTTTAAGTTTCTCTTTTTCCGGCCCTAAAAAGGTTGAAATGCCTATTTAATGTCCCTCTATTGACTTCAAAATATATTTAATAATCTAAACTTAAATTGGAGATAATCACTTTTAATGTTTAAGGATTTACAAATTAATAAAATATTATTAAAATTTCGATAATTAATTTTTCAACTTTTAAAATTTAAAACCAAAGAAAAAAGTCCAATAATCAAGCTTAATTTTTTTTTAAAAAAAACTATGTTTAAGAATTAAATTATCAAAATTCAGTAATTTAAAGCTAAATTTGCATTACCCAAACGTCAATAATTGAGGAAATGGAAGGGAACAATCCACTTCTTTCCTTTGATCACGTGCTTCTTGATTTTTTATTTTGGGTAATAAAATATTTCCTACAATTGAATGTGGTCCCACCTCACATGCAACAAAAAGTTTATGTGGGCCCCACTCTCTCTTCCAACCTGGATCCTTTTAGCCAATAACAGTGCAGCATTTTCACAAACACAACCAATCACGTAAGGACGAGGTGCCACGTAGATATTAAAATAACTTCAAATAAAATCAAAGATATATATCCATTTTCACTTTCAGCGCCTGCGCATCCTCTTCTTCAGTATCTCTCTTCTTCTCCGCTCTAGTTTCTATCCGCAGTTGATATACACACACACACACACACACACACACACATCGATATATATATATATGTATTTATTATAAGTACTCTCCTCAGAAAAAGAAAGAAAGAGAGGGAGAGTCAGATAAGATTTATGGGGTATAATTCATTCTTAAAGAGCCCAAAGAAGGAAGAACAGCAGGTCCCAGATACAGCTCATGAATTCTGCAACACCGTCCATGGAGAAACTGATGACGTCATGAATGAACTCGAAGGCCTTTTGGGCATTGAAAACGATTTTGAACATGACAAGTTATTATCAACTGATCATCATATTCATCATTATCATCATCATATCAACCCACTGCAGTTATATCATCATTATCAACAACAACTCAGTTGGGATTTCATAGATTGGGAAGACTTCCCGAATGGGACTGAGGAAGAAGAAGAAGAGGAAGATGAGGAAGATGAGTTAGATGAAGAAAGAGAGCAGAAAGTTAAGGGGTGCCCTCTAGGTAATGAACTAATGTTGTTTGGAGGAGAAGAAAATGTAAGTCCAGGTGGTTGTCATAATTACAGCGCTGATAATAACGATGGTAATTTGAAGAAAGAAGAAACGGGGTTTTGGGATGAGAAGAAGAAGGTGGCTTTGAACCTTAATTTGAATTATCAAGAAGTGCTTGATGCTTGGTCTGATCGTGGACCTTTATGGGCTGATACTGCTTCTTCGCTTTCCATGGCAACCAATTATGGCTACTATGTTAGTAAAATTTCTTCTTCAATATTTTATACATACATATATATATATATATATATTATCCATTCTATTCTCTTCCTCTCTTTTCTTTCTTTGTTGGGAATTCGGGCGTATATAAAATCTTTCTTGTATCCTCTGCCATTCTTTCATCTCTTTGAAGTTTTGAAAGCATTACTACTTAATTTGCTTGAGCTATAATTTGGGCCATTGGGATAAATATTTCTCTTCAGAATGAATAGATTTGAGTTATATAAATGTAATTTTCTGAGATTTTTGTTATGTTGACTACATAACTAGTTGTCTTAATTACAAGATATGAACATATATTTATGTATGTATGTATATAGTGAATATTTATAAGGTGTAAATATATATAGATGGGAGAGGTGCCAGTGATGGAAGAAGATAGAGCAAGAAGAGAAGCAAGCGTTCTTAGATACAAAGAGAAACGGCAGAGCAGATTGTTCTCCAAGAAGATAAGGTATCAAGTCCGCAAACTCAACGCAGATAAAAGACCCAGGCTTAAGGTTTGTCCTTTTTTTTTTTTTACCCATGCTATCTTTTATATAAACACACACACACACACACACACACACACCCCTATACGTATACATATAATTAAATATATAATATTAGAACTCTTGGGCAGTAATTGTAATTTCTAAAAAATAAAAAACGTGAACTTTGGTTGCAGGGTCGGTTTGTGAAGAGAGTATCCTAACAGGAAAAGGATGCGCATCATAGAAATATCTCCAAGAAATATCTTCTCTGTACACCTATATATATATATATATATATATATATTCTGGACTTTTGGGCTTTTGAACTTTTCAATGCCTTTAACTTTCTCAATGACAATAAAATTAAAAATATCTTCTTGATTCAAATTCCCTGTATGGAAGACTTTCTGGGTACTTCTCTTATGGTGTTTTAATGGTGGACCTCAACTTCATCATGGTTGATTGAATCAACACTTACATAGTAGAATTAAGCATGGCTCAAGCCTAGCATTTTCTGTTGCACTTCAACATTATCCTACAGGACTCGAAAAGTTTTATGTCTATGTACAAATTGACAACCATCTGTATATAACTACACGTATATAGATATGTGTGTCTGTGTATCTAAATGAATATGGATGTGTACATAGATGATCAGGGGAAAAAAAGTCAGTTGTTATGGAATAAAGAACCGTTTAGGAATTAATGCAAATAATATCGCGTCGCGTACAGATATGATGGTGGGGCTTGATCTCTTCCACTCATAACGTACATGGCGTGGTCCTCCTATATATATATATATATATATATGTATGTATGTATACACAGTGCGGGACTGTGGGGGCATCTTGAATTTTCACTTTTTATAGGTCCATTTATAGCTCGTGTCATTTTCTGAAATCTTGGCCAATCTCCTTTTGTTTTCAGGCAAATTATAATGGCTTTTGTTTTTTATTACCGTATTTTGTTATATTTATTTCATTTTTATTTTTAGTTTATGAAATTATATTTTTAGAATATTTATTTTTTGGTTTGTTTGAGTGAGATAAAAACTAAAACATATAAATATTGTGGTTTATACTTTTACATACTTTTGATATAATAATAATAATAATAATTAATTAATTAAATAATTTGGGTATTAATATTATATTTTATTATTTTACATAAACAATAATTATTTAGATCAAATCACTATTAATGAAACCAATAATTTAAGTTAATAAACCAACATCTTAAACGTTTCAATTATGACCAAGTCTAGTTTTAGGAACCATATTTGCATTCAACTAAAATACCGTGTTTACATTTATTACAACACATCTCACTTTCATTTTCTTTTATTTGATAGGGTTTGTTTTGTTTGTTATATGTGTAACAACCCGTTTTTTTTTTTTTCTTAACGGCGTAGTCTAAAATATTTTCATAACCAAATATGAAAATTTCATTCCAAATCAGT